TGTGTGTGTGTGCGTGTGTGTGTGTCCGAGTGCATTTTGTCCAACATTTTCAACTAGGGAACCACGAAAGCTGGGACGCTGAAATTTTGGCGGAGTGTTCCACGCCCACGTATGACCCCACAAACTTAAACTCAGCCTTCACTTCCCACGGGTACCACGTATGACTTGGCCAAAGCTTTTGTGGGGGAAATTATTATTTTGGAAACCACGAAAGCTGGGACACTGAAGTTTTGGTAGAATGTTCCCCGCCCACCCGCGACCCCGCAGACTTAAATTTGGCCTTCACTTACCAGTGTTTTCCACGTATGACCTTGCCAAAAGTTTGGTGATAGAAATTATTATCTCGGGAACTACAAAAGCTACTAAGCTAAAATTTTGCGGTAGTTTGCGCTGCCCATATATAATTACTCGCAAATTTAAATTCGGCATTCCCATGCCCTCGGGTATCACATAGGGTCCCGTGAAAGCTTTGGCAGGAAATTATTACTTCGCAAATCACAAAAGTTAAGGAACTAAAATTTTACGGTAATGTCCCCTACCTAGGTACAACTCCACAGCTTCAAACTCAGCTCCCCCATAGGTCTAGGTACCACGCACGATCCTGTGAAAGTTTTGGTGGGGGAAGTTATTTTGGGAATCACGAAAGTTAGGAAGCCGAAATTTTAGGTTATTGTCCTCTGCCCACATGCGATCATGCAAATTCAAATTCAGCTTTCACGCACACCTGGTTTCAGCGTCCTTGTAAATGTTTTGGTGAGAAGAATTATTACCCGGAGGCCAGAAGAGGTAAGGGGCTGAAAATTTCAGGAGGCTGTTTTCTGCTTACGCAGTAACTACACAAACCCAAATTTAATTCCCCAGTATGCCGAGGTCTCACGCACGAATACACAAATTTTTGATTCGAAAATCACTAAAAAGCCAGAAAATTAAAGGGTTGTTTTTGGAAGGATGTTTACTGTACAAGACTTTGGTGGAAAATTCCGCAACTTAGGAACCAGACAACATTTCTGCTATTTTTGCACAGACCGAAGAGCAAAGCAGTGAAAATCCTTGGCAGGCAAACGTTCGCTGGACGGAACTGCGCAAAACGCATGATCGCACAGGCTACCCTGGTGCGCACCGTTATTTATTTCCTATGAACTATGTTACCTCTAACGAGATTGTTTTGGTCACTATGTGTTTCTGCGAGCTTACGCTTGCGGATTTGCTCCCTTCAATTTCATTGAACCAGAACCAATATTCCAATAAACGCACTTGCGAACATACCATCACTTTTACTTCTTCAGTGGGGTAATCCAGTGACAAATGTATCACATTAGGAAAAACTCTGTGTCTGTGCAAAATCTGCAGGCGGAAAAGCTGCTGGCACTGTTGCCTTATCAGGATGGTTAGAAATGAAAGTGTGTTTCTGGGCACTGCAAATTCATTTGGGCTGATTTGCTAGGATCACAAAATTCGTGCAGTTTTGTGCACAGTAGATACAGTGATTTTTAGGATCGCTAAAATTGTCCAGTACTTTCGTATTGTACTGTTAACCTGAAAATAATTTTGCTTTGTAATCCAGAAATACCAAGATGAGCGGCTCGGATAGCACACTGTTTGGCACGTTGCCGGAGCTCGTTTACAAATGTGCCAAACTGGATCGTGTTGCAACGGTGTTTGATGCTGAAAAAATTACGTATACTTTTCAAAATGTCAAAAATGAGGTCAGTGTTTTGGTAAAATTTTAGGAATTTTTAAATTGACCGGAGAAATTGCCCCTGTTCCAATCGTACTGCAATTG